GCATTAACGAGTCGAGTCAGGGTCGTTTAATTTAACAACACTAGAGCCATCCTATTCTGGTCCCTTGGCACATGATCGCATCGTCCGCAATTATGGGAGAAGATGAGGGCTCTAATATCGTCAAACATTCCAAGCAGTCGGTCGAGATTATCTTGGTAGGAAATACCACTGACAGACGCGATAGACTGAAGATTGAGGCCCAAGCCTTGCTCGGTCGAGATCATCTTGGTAGGAAATACCATTGACAGACGCGACAGACTGAAGATTGAGGCCCAAGCCCATAGCAATGCGTAAAATATTTGTTAATTATTGTTACATATTTGTTCACATAATATGTTAATTATTGTTAAATATTGGTTCACATATTTATATTTTTCCAATAAAAAAATTAAGAAATATGTGGACCCAATTTAAAAATTAAATACAAATGGACTGAAATTGAGTCATTTTATTTTTTTCTTAAGTATTTAATTTATATTTCTTAATTTTAGTTGGCTTATGTTTGTACATGTTAACTACAATTATTCGTATTTTATTATATTTATATAATAGTAATATGGGTTTATTTTTTTTAATGATGGAAATTATATTATTATCCATTTTTTTTTTGCTGAGAAAAAAATAAATTTCAAGGATGAGTGTCATTGTTATCACACACACACACACACATATATATATATATAAATATTTTCTGTTGAATATCACAAATATTTTTTAACAAAAAGTACTTTTTATTCCCATACAATTATATATTGTCGTTATTTATAAAGTCATGAATCGCGTTGTATAGTGATTGACATGATTGGTAGGAAGGAATGACAAGAGAATGGAATGATCATTCTCTTGCTCATTCCTAATCTCATGATTGGTATATTTTTTAGGAATGAATGACCATTCCAATAGGAATGACAAAACTCATCTCCATGGGATTAACCATTCTATAGTAAATAGAAGGTTTTCTCATTCCCATGTGTGTAGGAATCAATTTTTTAAAAAATAAAATTAACAAATAATAATAAAAAATAAATATATATAATATATTATAAATCATGATTAAAATATATTAAACAAAATTATTTTTAAAAAAAGTTCAAATAAAAAAATTGAAAACTTACTTTTATTTATTTTTTAATTAGATATATTAAATATTTATATAAAAATAAAACTAAAAAAATCATTTATATATAATTTAAAAATATATTATTTTATTTTTATATATTATTAAAAATATATAATTTTTATATATTAAAAATATATTACTTTTAACAATATATTATTAAAAAATATATTATGAAAAATATATTACTTTATTTTTAAATATTATTAAAAATATATTATTTGAAAAATAAAATTCAAATAATAAATTAAAAACTTACTTTTATTTACTGTTTAATTAAAAATAAATATATTATTTTATTTTTATATATTATTAAAAATATATTATTTTTATATTATTAAACAATATATTATTCTATTTTTATATATTATTCAAAATATATTATTAAAAATATATTACTTTTTATATTATTAAACAATATATTATTCTATTTTTATATATTATTCAAAATATATTATTAAAAATGTATTATTTTATTTTTATATATTATTAAAAAAGCATTTATATATAATTTATTAGAAGTATATTATTTTTTAAAAAAGGCTTTTATTTATTTTTATAATAATAATAATAATGTCATTTCATTCCAGTCATATTCCTTCTGCATACCAAATGCATCAATGACAAAACATGTTTCATTCCATTTCCATAATCATTCCATTCTTAAATTCATTCCATCTCCACGAAATTTCATTCCATCATACCAATCATGCTGTATATAATGAAAGCATTCATTTACTGCTAATTTATATTTAAGGAAGCATTTTAAAATGTAATAAATAAATTTCTATTGTACTTTTTATTATCTTTATACAAGTTATTCTAAATAAATTATTTTATTTATTTAAATTGTAATTAACTAATATTATTTTGAACTACGCAACTAAGGCTGCAAACGAACCGAGTGGCTCACGAGCGCTCAAGTCAAAGCTCGATTCGAGCTTGAACGGCTTGAGCACGAACTCGAGTCGAGCTCGAGCCTATATTTTACATTGTCGAGCGACTCAAGATATATGTTGAATTACTAAAATACCCTTATATATATTACAATAATATAACATAGGTACTTAATGGTAATTTTATTTTTCCACTTAAAATTTTTCGAGCCGAATTTGAGCCAAGCTCGAGCATTTTGATTTTAAGTGAAGCTCGAGCCAAGCTCGAGCAATTGTACTTTTTTTTATCGAGTCGAGCTCGAGTCTCATAAATCGAGCTCGAGCAACTAAAAAAAGAAAAATGAATCCTGCTTATCAACACACAGTAGCGTATCAGTTAAACATTATTTTCTTCTCTTTTTCTTCTAATTTTGTTGGAGTCCTCCATTATTTTCTTATATAATCATTTTGACCAATTACTATTTCCTTTATTTATCTCACTTGTAAATTCATTTGATTGTTTGAAATCTAAAGCCCCATGGAATTATCATCACAATTTTAAGATAGTTGGCGTTGTCTTATATCGTGTTAAGTAGGGTTGGTATTACAGAAAATGGAAAACCGAACTCAACCGAACTGACGAGAGAGTAAACTGAACCAAATCGAACCATTTGTAACTGTAATCGATATTCGATTACCGAATTGATTTCGGTTCGGTATCGATTCTGAACCCATAAAAATTTGGTAAAACCGAACCAAACCAATAAAAAATAATATAACTTAATATATAACATTATAACTTATAATCTATTTACTATATAATTAGAGAACTCAGTTTCCATTTTTAGAAAGTTCACTTTGAGGGTCCCACTAAATTGGTTCTAATTTGGGGAAGTTAGAAAACTGAAAACATCACAATAAAGGGTCCAGCAGCAACTTTAGCGATTTCAAGCGGTTAGGGATGAACAGGATCACACATTGAGATAACAAGTCAATAGCATCATTAACTGCCACATATGAGATACTTTTTAATC